AGGTCGACTCTGAGGATCCCCGTTTTTAAGGAGTATGGGGGTATCCGAACGAGCCCACGCCCACGCCAAACGGACCAGAATGAGGCACTGAGAGCTTGTGAGGATGTGTGCAAAAAAGCGAATATACAAAGTGACCTACCTCCACAAGGCCTTAACCATTTTGAAAGCGGTTTTGTGGACAATTTTCATGGAGTTTGGGGGTATCCGAACGAGCCCACGCGCACACCAAACGGACCAGAATGAGGCACTGAGAGCTTGTGAGGATATGTGCAAAAAAGCGAATATACAAAGTGACCTACCTCCACGAGGCCTCAACCATTTCACAAACGGTTTGGTGGTCCGTTTTCAGGGAGTTTGGGCTATCCGAACGAGCCCACGCACACGCCAAACGGTCCAGATTAAGGTACTGAGAGCTTGTGAGCATGAGTGCAAAAATGCGAATATACAAAGTGATACTTACCTCCATGGGAAGTTGACCGTTTTGTAAACGGTTTTGTGGAGCTTGTTCGTGGAATGCGTAGGTATTGAATCGAGTCCACACTCAAGCGAAACGGACTGCAGGAAGGTACTGAGAAGTTGTGAGGATAATGGTGAATATTCCGCTGATCAAAAGGAATGACTCACAAGTTGAGTCACGGAAATTTCCGAAAATGACGTACTTCCCTTGCGGGCTACCTTGCATTTTGAAGGTAGCCCGCAAAGGAAGTACGTCATTTTCGGGCAATGCCGTGACTTTCGTGTTTTTGCACTTCTGCTAAACTCTGCCCAAGACCTTCCTGTGCATCGATTTCCATCAACGAAGACTTGTTTGGATACTACTTTACGTCCCGAAAACGCTCCGACAAACCGTTTACGAAACCGTCAACTCTTCGTGGAGGTACGTCTATTTGTATTTTCGTGTTTTTGCACTTCTGCTAAACTCTGCCCAAGACCTTCCTGTGACTCAATTTCCTTCAACTTAGACTTGTTTGGATACTACTTTACGTCCCGAAAACGCTCCGACAAACCGTTTACGAAACCGTCAACTCTTCGTGGAGGTACGTCTATTTGTATTTTCGTGTTTTTGCACTTCTGCTAAACTCTGCCCAAGACCTTCCTGTGGCTCGATTTCCTTCAACTTAGACTTGTTTGGATACTAATTTACGTCCCGAAAACGCTCCAACAAACTGTTTATGAAACCGTCAACTCTTGGTGGAGGTACATCTATTTGTACTTTCATGTTTTTGCACTTCTGCTAAACTCTGCCCAAGACCTTCCTGTGCCTCGATTTCCCTGAATGTAGGCTTGTTTGGATAGTGCTTCACGTCCCGAAAATGCTCCAAGAAACCGTTTGCGAATCTGTCAACCCCTCGTGGAGGTACTTCTATTTGTACTTTCATGTTTTTTTGACTTATAATAAACTATGACCAGGACCTTCTTGTGGCTCAATTCCCTTCAGTGTAAACTCGTTTCGATACTACTACACATCCCAAAAATGCTCCAACAAGCCATCTACGAATCTGTCATCCCTTCATGGAGGTATGTCTGTTTGTATTTTCATGTTTTTGCACTTATGGTGAACTCTGCCCATGACCTTCCTATGGCTCAATGTGGACTCATTTGGACACTACTTCACATCTCAAAAATGCTCCAACAAACCACTTATGAATCTGTTGACCCTTTGTGGAGGTACATCTGTTTGTAATTTCGTGTTTTTTGAACTTATGCTAAACTCTGCCCAAGACCTTCCTGTGGCTCAATTCCCTTCAGTGTAGACTCATTTTGATACTACTACATGTGTGCAAGTAGTAGAGTAGCAGTGAGTACCCTTCACACCTTTAACACCAGTCTGTTCGATGGCAGCACCCCCTACATATTCCCCTTTGTTATTTTTAGTTGGTACATGCATTCCTGGTCATATCCTCAGGTTTGCCCAGTATTATGCCTTGGACAATATACAACTCTTTTACTACTTCAGGATTGAGGAGACGTTTTCTGAATTGTTGTTTAACAATTTATTGTATTACATTGTATTAATCTGCCTACCCCGCAAAGCACCATGAATTGATTACATTGTATTCTGCCTTCTGTAAACCAGTCACTCAATCCTTAGGATAGTTCAATGTGCAGGCGTATATGACAGTGCTGTCCATGAGGCGAAGAAGCCCTGTGATAAAATGTTAAAAACAACAGTGTTGATCCACTTGCATTTGCTTACCATGTTGAGCCATTGTGGTGTCTTCCCATGCAGCTTTGTATTTTAATGCTGCAGGATCATGTCTACCATGTACATGAGGATGCATTTGATGTTGATGGTGTTATGCACCAGGGGATGGGTGGCAACTTTGTATAGGTAGTGGAAGCATTCATTCCAGTGTTCATTGTAGACGAGACATCTGCCACCAACCACAAATCACTACTTGACTTCTGGTCCATTGGTCTGAATCTTATCCACAAGATATGTTGGAGGTGTTTCAAGGGTCCCAGGTGCATTTTCTCAAATGAAAATTTATCTAACAATTGCCAGAAAATAGCACAAAAATTAGAGAAAATTGGAATATGGTGCTCATTGTCAGCAATGATGTTATGAGTCCTCTGAGTTTATAAAAACACTAGTTTATTACCCTCTTTTCTCAAGGATTTTTTTACTACCTCTAACACTATTCTCCCATAAAAATTGATGGTTTGATGATGTAGAATAATGAACATTTCCTGAAAGGAAATATAGCAATAAAAATAGAAGACAAATCAGAAACAAATGGGGGGCAATGTGCACTATTGATGACAATGTTACATAGCATATTTTCAACTGAGGTTATTTGCACTTTTTGAGTTAAAAATAGCAATAAGAAATTGAGGGAAAGTTACTGCTTGTGCAATATTGGGGAGCATGGTCAGAGTCCAGGAGAACTTTCCATATGTAGTAATCTACTTGAAATTAACTATAAAAGACTGGAAAAATTTAGAGAAAAATGGAGGATAATACTGGTTGTTGCTTTCAATGTATATGTAGGTACTCTCTGTAGGTAAATGGAAATATACACTTTATCCAATGTAAAATAGCAATACTATATATATATAGTTAATGGGTATAAATCTGATGGGCTTTCAGGAGGTGGTCACATGACTATTTTCCTAAATAATCAAAAATGTGAATGTTGTGGTGCTGCATTGTAGCTTCCTGAATATAAAAAGGACTCGTATCTGCCATGCTTGCAATGG